TTTATATGAACTTTTTTACTTGAAATAAACCAAAGAATTGCTCTGTTGAGTTTGGGAACATACTTAACTAACAGCCTGTATATATCATGAATTGTTTCTCTTCCTTGTGGATTTTTAAACTTAATTAATTAATTGTGCTATAATTTAAGTGAAAAACCCGATTGAAAGTTCATGAAGAAGTATCACATTTATGTGTGTGTTGTGAAATAAAATATTAAATATCTCAATAAAGCTTTTTAGGCTCTCTTTCATGGATATTATCTATCTAAAGATACCAGAAGGTTTGTGGATTGTCGCTGTGTTTTCATCTATTGCTAATACCAACGTTTTGTGAACTTTGCCGTTCACTTCATCAAGACAAGGAGTACACTAATACTGAGTTGCTCCTCTGGAGAAATATCTCATAACTATTAATTTTTTTTATAATCATACCTTAATATTTTTAAGAACAAAATAATGAGGTAAATCAATTGGTGCAAAGAAAACAAATAATTGTTTTTAAAAAATATGTAGGCACAATGGATAATTTTTTAAATAAGCAATTATGTGTTTTATATTATTAAGAAATATTTATGTCAATAATTTAATATTTATACTTGGAGAATATATAACATATTTATAAGAACATGTTTTTAATTTTCCAAAACAAATGTTTCAACTTTATTTTAGAAAATAATAAAATGTAGTATATATGTAGTAATATGTAAATGCCAGTAGTATATATAATTTAATTCCTTGAATTTGCAAGAAATTTGCACGGATAGGAATAGGTCGAACACAAAATACTCAAGATATTTTAGAAAAAGTAAGTTTTTAAATAAGAAATTCAATCTTTGCAAAAAATTGTATAAATCTTTTGTAAAAAAAAGTTTGAAATTAAAAAATCTACTTTAGACTGTTAAATTTTTTCCAATGATGTTTCATTAAAGTATTATGTTTTAAAATAAAACAAAAGTATTGCAAAAATATAAATTTTCAACTTTATGTAATTAAAAAAAATATATTGTAAAGGCATAATCAAATGTCAATCAATTAAAATCTGTATCCTTCCTTTCTAAAATTCAATTTTAAAAAATTCTCTATGATTTTTTTTTTTTCATCGAGATACTTGTAAGTTTTTGTAAAATGTGAGAAAATAGCAAAAGCATTCTCAAACTTACATATATAAATGATAGTGTATACTTCACATGGCACACACATGTGCATACATACATGTTTTTTTATGATTATATTTAATAATATTCTTTTACCTGAAACTAAGTATGGTGAAAGGTCTATATGATTTGTGGCTTTGCTTGTGGGATAATTTAGTACCCCAAAAGTCATTTTGAAATATATCCCAGAACGGTGTCTTATGTACATCGACATTATTGACAATAGCCTCAGTATCGTCAAAAACAAAATCTCCGTTATAACTGTTAACAAAACAAAGTGACAAAATCACAATTATCCATGGGGAAAGTGATGGTGATACGGCTGAAAATGTACAAAATATCTCATTAAAAAGTATTTATTATTATGTGTAATTGTGTATTAAGTGGTAATTTACCTGGTAAATAAGTATTTATTTTGCTTTTCATAATACTCCGAAAAAACGCAGATTGCTATTTTTGTTTATTATCATAGGTAGATATGCTTAAATACAGTCTTCCCTCTTGTGACCAGGTGTTATTGTACTTTTTTCTTCATCTTCTTCTTCTTAAATTTTAATTGGTACTTTCTTCAGTCGGAAACAATTCGACCAATATTTCAAGGTATAATATACATATTTTTTCTATGGCCGAATCCCGATGCATGGTGCGAGGATTAGGCTGAGTTTCCACTGAGCGCGTCACGCGTCGCGTCGTCGAAGGAGAGAAAGAGAGGGGTTGTGTATTTATATAATCTTATCTCTTTCTCTCTTT